AACACTCCATCCATGCTTTTGTTCCGGCCCTCCGGTCCAGTTTAAGAACCTATTGTGGCCCTCGAGTCAAAAAGTTTGCCCACCCCTGGTCAAGACCATGAGCATCCTGCGTTTCATTGCACACACTCTGGGTGGGTGCTAGAGTGCCCAGATCTAAGGTGAATCTTTGTGCCCCCGACAATTGGCCTCCATTAAAATTCCAGCAACAGCTGATGAGCATGTTCTATTAAACCCAGTGGGCTCTCTTCAACACAACTGACCTCGTCTTTCTCCCTCTCCTGTCTGTGGGGCCTCATAGCCTCTGCCTGCTGCTCCTATGACCCTTCTCATGGATTCTTCTCATCATTCAGATTCCCTGGGCTTACACCAAATCCCCCCTCTTGCCACCCTACTCTCTCCCCAGTCAATCTTGGGTGTTCCCAGGACCTCAACTACATCTACACTGATAAGTCCAGCCCCAGACCCATCTGTAATATTATACATTGCCACGTGGGTCTCAGAGCAACCTCAGTCAGAGTCCAAATTCAAATTCATGGTTTTCCCTGCCGTTCTGGATATTAACTGGATCCTGACTTCTTCTCATTCCCAACACCCAAAAGATGCTTAAGTTCTTTGGAATGTAGCTCATAAACTTCCCTCAGTTCAGGCACACAGCTCCACCACAGCCACCACCGCCATTCTCCAAGCCACCAGCACCCCCAACAGAGACCCCTGCCCCAGCCCCCAGATTGTCTCCTTTCTGCTCCTTGAGCACCAAGTCATGTTCCAGAGGACACAGAGGGACAACAACCATCTTACTAAATTTTTTAAAATTAGGAGGACATTAGCCTACTGTCCAAATCTTACCAGGTAAAAAGTCCAAATCGAGCTCCAGTTGACCAGAAGTGGGGCTAAATATTTCTGAAATGATTAAAGCTAAGGGCAACACGGCTCAGACTCCAAAACTGCTGCAGGCACAGAGACGCCTGCCTCCCCAAGGGTGTCTGAATCACACAGTATGCAGCCTATGCCTGTCTGTTCTAGCTAAAAGGAACACTCTTCATGCCTTCTTCCTCCTGCAAGGACCCTCCACCAACCTGCACCCCACTTTTGGCCCTTGGAGGATGAGGAAACCCTCTATTGTATCCCACCTGCACACCGCAGTCCTCAGAAGCTAGCCTCACAAATTATAGGAGAGCCGAGGCAGACACACCGCGTTCCAATGGGCAGCCATGTCTGCATGTCAGTTCGAGAGATCATTGCCAGGGAAATATCTATATCTCGGCAAAGACAGCTTCAGCCCTTTGGAGTCCAGCTGTGCTCAAATGGGAATCCTGAAATCCAGATGTTGGTCCAAACACCTTGTTTCTGCAAGCCAGCTTCCGAATTCTCTGTTGTGAGAGTGAACCTCGAGAGCCATCTGTCTGCTACCCACGCCCTAGAATCCTGGGCCTGAGAAACAAGAGGGAATTTGGGGAGAAACCGGTGATTCCATGAGGAAAGCCGAGGGGCTGCCAAAATCCAATGTGAGGTTTAGGTAGATGATATTCACCCTTGCACTTCACCAATAGATAGGGGATGAAGGTTGGAGTCTGGTTCACCCAAATCATTTTTTTAATGAAATTGACCACTTGTTTTGTGCTTTTTCAGTATATAAATACTATAAGCCTTTTCCATTTACTATCTTGTTATTTTACTGAATGCCCTCATAACCTTGCATTGAGATTGTCTTTCATTACCTCTGTTTTACAGATGAGGAAACTGAGGCCCATTGAGGTAGTGTAAATTTCCCAAGGCTGCACAGCTTACAAGTGGTACAGCAGGGACCTATACTCAATACCCACACTCTGAAACTTTTTTGCAAGTGTAGATCAGTGGCTCTCGGCCTAGGGACATTTTTGGTTGTCACAACTGGCGGCGGGGGGAGGCAGTGCTACCAGCACCCAGTGGGCAGAGGCCAGTACACAGGACAGCCCCCACAAAATATCTCACCAAATGTCACAGTGCCAAAGTGGAGACACCCAGGTGCAGACCATCACCAGCAAGAAAGGAAAGACCTGCAGTCTGGATTCGCCCCTCCAGGAGCCCCATGCTGACCCTTGAGTGGAGAGTTCATGTAGTGATTTCAGGGATTCTGATGAGCTGTTACCCTTAAAAGCTCAGCTCTGCCCAACACAACCCAGAAATCTATGCCAAGCTGCCTGATCTTGGGAAAAACTGAACAATGGCTGAGGATGATAACCGATTATCTAGGAGAGACTTTTCTCTCCTTCCAGGAAGAGCTGTGGGTAGAACTGTGGGTAGTGATCCCTGGGATCACTCTAAGGAACCAATAAAAGCTCTGGGAGGACTAGTTTTTTTTTATACTAGCTCAACAGCACTGGTGCTGGAGAGGCTTAAGGGAATCTGTGAAACTTGTGATGCCTGGTGGAAGATCAGCCCTCACTAAAAACACGCCCTCCTTCCACCGCACCTCCTGCAGGACTCAGCACTGAAAGGGCTCCTTGGGCTCCAGGTGACCAGCTAAAAGCATCCCCAGCAATCATCAGAGGAGGCGACCCCCTCCTTAAAGAGGCAAGCCTGGGAGCCACTCTGAAGGCAACTGGTCACATGTGAACCTCTGCCACCCAGAGTGCCGGACCTAGTGATGGAAAAGGCTATTTTATCCTTAAAAACATCTGGATACAATATGGACAGGGAGGTGATGCCCGTGCAGCTTCCTCAGAGAAAAGCCCAAAATGATCTGCATCTAAAAATAAGCTGCTATTAAAGAACAAGGATGTTTTTGACATTTTAGCCAAGTAATGGTCTACCAGTACACAGACAAAATCTCGTGAAAAAGCAGGCTGTTCTTGATCCATTTGGATGTGGTCTATGAGGGAAGAAATGGGCTCTGCTCAGAGAAATTGCTGCTGCTCCTAGCACCATCCTGAAACTGCTTCCTGGTTTCTTAAAGGAAATATTCCTACAGAATCTAAAAAGAGGGAGAAATCTCTCTGAGGGGCACTGTGGGCAGCCCAAGTTGTGGCCAACCTTTAAACTTGAAAACCAAGACGCCATGTCTATGAGCTGCCAATGCCCCCAGGAGATCCAGGTGCCCCCAGACTCAGGAAACAAAGAACAGTTTCTGTCCAGTTATGACATGATCCTTCAAATTGTGGCACCCCCATTTCCCTTTGTGAACCAAAAAGTTCAATGGGGTTTCTGCCTTTTAAAAATTTCAGCGTCTACACATAATTCCTTTAACCTCCAGGAAGCATTATTCAGCTTTCTTGGAGATTCTGGCCCAAGACCCTTGTCTCTTGTCATTCATCCCAAAACCAAACATGGCAGCAAGCAAGCCAAATGGAGTGAGTTTCAGTACTAAATCACATTTATTGAGTACATGCTATGTGCCAGGTGCAATGCTAAGTGTCTTCTATGGATAATCTTTGCTTAATCTCAGGATTAATAACCCCATGAAAAGAGGCCTGTTGACATATCCATTTTGCCAATAAGGACACTAAGGCTCAGAGACATTAAATAACGTGTGCCAGGTCACCCAGCTAAGAAGGGCCCGAGTTGAGATTCAAGCCCACATTCCTAAGCATGCCCTGCACTAGGTCACTTCACTCCATTCAGGGGTCCTCAGCAAAGTTCCACACAGAAGAGCGAGGTGACAGGAGGAGGGAGGGGCTGACAACAGTGAAAGTTTCACAGCACTGCACTGCCCCCGAAACTGTGTGGGCCTCTCCTCCCACCACACTGCGACACTACTCCCTTCTCATCCTTTCCACGGTGTATCCCAGAAGCCTTCCAAAGCATTCCTTCTCCTGGGATCTCAGAGAGAAATTCCCCTGGTTTTGGTGCTCAGGTGGCCCAGGATCTGAACACAGTGACAGCCACAGGAAGGCACGCTGATCAGCTGGGCTGTGCTGCAGCCCAGCCATTGGAGGCATCGGAGGAGGCTGCTGCTGCTGCCTGCGTGGATTTGGAGAAAGAAGGAGAACTCTCCCTCATGGGGCTCAGCAGTCACTAATCAAATTTTTAAGACGAGCTTAGCCAAGCAAATGGTCAAGAATAAAAACATTTGGAAGAAACAAAAAGGTCAACCCCATTATTCATGAAAACTCTCAAGGTGGCAGCCCTTGCCGTGGGGACAGCTGTTCACCAGCCCTCATCTGTCCTCCCGACACTGTGTTCCCCGACGTAAGGTCACCAGGTCACAGCTGGAAAATTCAGGAGAGAAAGCAGAAAGTGGGGACTGGTGGTCAAGCTGGCTTCAGAGACTCATCCACACGCACCTAATGACTCACATACCCACGAACATACACAACAAATCACCTCACACATACCCTTAGCCGGCAGGACCAGGGGCAGGCAGCACCCCAGGATGTGCACAGAACTTCGCTTCTGTCCCTCTCTGAAGGGATGGGGAGAGGAGAGTGACTTAGGGTGTGGAAGCCACCTGCCTTTTCCCTGAACTCTCACTGCCCAAGCAGAATGGGAGCAATGACAGGAAGATGCGGGCAGGAGAGGGGCTTGGTGGCTGCTGCCAGTGCACACGCTGACAGGGCCAACAGGGCCAGGTTAGGCAGACTATGCCCAGGTACTTCCTACCCAAGCCCCTTGCTAGAGAGGCACACACAACCAGCAAAGTCCCAGAGAGACGCCTAAAACAGCGCTGTCCAGGATAGGGGTGCTGGGTGAGGGCTGCTCAGAACAACCCCACCTCCTTCCCCTCCTGGGGCCCCAGGACGCAGAGATTCCCCCCCCCCTTTCAATGAACCGTGGAGCCCACAGAGGTCTCCCAGCCACCAAGGACGTCAAGGAGAACAAGCAAGTCCATGCTACATAAACAAGAAGGGAATTTCCATCAATATCAGAACATCTAGTTTCTCGGGAGGTCGCTGCAAGCTGTCACACCGCGCCCGCCCCGCAGGAGTTGCTGCCCAATTACCAACTTAGACCTGACGGCGGAGAGATGGGGAACGTCCCAGCCACCCCCCAGCCGCATCCCTCCTGAGCCCCTGCTCACTTACACCTCTGCCTTCGACACCTGTCTGGGTGCCCGTCTCTTCCCTGCCCAGGCGTAGAGCGTCTTCTCCCTCCTCCTGAGCTGCGCTTCCTCCTTCCAGCCCCAGCCTCAACCTCTTCTCCTCCGGAGGGGCATCCTCCTCCTCCCGCCTCTGCCGGCCGTCCCTGCCTCTGAGCTTGCCCTTGTCTTCGGGGCTGCCGGAAGGGCTGGCCATGGCTCCCGGGGACTCTGCCTGCACTTGAGGAAAAAGAAAGACCCAGCAGCCTCCCGAACCCAGCGGCCTGTCGATGGGAGATGGGGCTTCTGAGCGCGGCCTCGGTGGGTTCGCACCGCGCGGCTCAGAGCTGGACTCCTCGGTGGACCACTCCTGTCTCTCTGCCGCCCCCTGCTGGCTACTAGCGCGCACCGCGGCACGCGTGGAAGAGGCCTGTGCGGGTCTCACCTGCCCAGATGGACCGCTGGCTCTCCACTGCCCCGGGCCAGGCCCACTCTGGCAAAGTCCTGCCCCCAGGTTGCACCCAGGGATCTCCCTGCCCAAGGAAGGGAGGAGAGAAGGGACAGATAGACGTCCGCTTCTCCAGCGCCCTGCACGGATGGACACCCTGGTCTCTGGTGCTATTCTGCATGGTGAATGATTTGGATGTGGCCGGAAAAAGGAAGCTGCTCAAAATGCATTGAGAATCTGACCTGAAGGATTACATGCTTAATGCACAGGCATCATCTTTCAAAGTTGTGCTTACCTATCAAGGATGTTTATCAAGCGTCTATGGGCCAGGCATGGCCATTGCAGGAGGGGGTGATAAGGATGATCATGGCAGGCATTTTCTCTGCCCCTGTGGAGTTCAACGCCTGGTGGGAAGGTGATGATTGGTTGACATTGTCAACAGGACAAAGGACTGCAAAGAAGTGCCAGGAACTGGGAACCTAAAAGAGAAGGGCCCCCACCTCCCCAACTGCCTCTGCCTTGTTCATGGTTTTAATTTGAAAAGCTATCACAGTGGGTGGCACATAGTAGGTACTCAAGAAACATTTGTTGGGTGACTAAATGGATCCACTCTCATCAGGGGTTCTTTGCATCCTACAGCTTCCCCTTCTTGCTCCAGCCCCTTCCTCTCTCCTCCATCTCTTCCTTTCCCACAACAAATAATTCTAATAACTACAGATAGGCTTTGAGACTCTCTTCTATTACTTTCCACATATTAATTCCTCTAAATGCCACAATAACCCTGTTATTACCCCACTATAGAGAGGAAGAGACTGAGGCATAAAAAGGTAAATGACAGGCCCAAGACACACTATAGTGGGAACTGCTGCCATTGAATTGGGAAATCTAAATGCAATGAGAGTCATTGGAACCCAGGGTGACAGGGACCAAGTGAAGACACTCAACCACCAAAGGGGGAGCGCCGCTCAGCCACAAGCTGGGCTGACAGCTGGTGAGTGCAGCAGCGGTGGCAGTGGCAGTGGCAGTGCTAAGGATGTCTGACTGTGGCTTATTGGGGAGCGGGCCTAAGCCATCAGTCGGATATCCCCCGAGGGCTCCCGGACTGCTAAAGGACGCAGGCCAGGCTGAGGGACCAGCCCCCCCACCCCCGCAAGTGCACGAATGTCATGCATCTGGCCTCTAGTAAGTAATAAAACAGTAAACTAAAGTGATGGAAACTGAAAGAGGGTATGGGTTGTTAAAGGAAGATACACCTGCTGCATTGGCGGGGTCTTTGGACTTCCATTCTAACCCACACACTCATGGAGAAGGTACACTTGACCCCCAAAGAGGGCCTTGGGTCCCCCAAAAAAGCAGAATCTAATGCAAGGATTCAAATGCAACTAGTTGATTTTGGAGATGATTTTAGGAAACTCTGTAGACAGGGATCATGGGAGGGAGAAGGTTATAAAGAATTTGCTGTCAACCCTTTGGACACCCAAAGCTAATCCAACTGGGAGAAATTGTGGACTGTGCACCTCAGCTCAGGGCACAGAAGCTGGGGTATTCACCCACCAAGTATTAGCATCTAGACTGACAGCTGCTCCCTGGAGGACCTTAATTCCCAAGTACTTCTGGCAAAGTGGGAGTTGGTAGCCACAGAGAGCCTCAGGCAAAGGCAAGTCAGCATGCATGGAAGTGGCGAGGGCAAGGGATGTGGGCAAGGGTCCCAACAACACCTGCTGCAGAGCTTAACCCTGCATGGCCAGACTGGCTCCAGCAGGAAGAAGTGAGCAGGCGGAATCGGGAGAACTTTGGGTGGTGATGGAGAAGCTGCTTTGGCAGGTCATCCTTCCACAGTGGGGCTTAGAAGGCAGGTTAGCTCAGCCACGGCTCTTGGGGCAGAGCTCGACTGGGGTTCTGGCTTCACTCTTAGCCACATAACTTCAAAGAGGGAAACTGAACTTTGAGAGCTTCAGTTTCCTCTTTGGAAAATGGGCATCACAGTACCTCGTGGGATTATTGTGAGAACTAAACAAGATTGTGCATAGAAAGCTCTTAGCTTGGCATAGCATAAGGGCTCAAAAAGAAAGTGTGCTTATTTTTAAATATCATTTAACTCATGTGTTTTCTTATAGTGCAGGCAAGTCTGGTCCTGAAGTTAGAGGGTCCTGAGGGTTCCAGGTGTGATGTGGGGAGAAGGAGAGAGACTGAACACGGATGAGACTAACAGCCAAGGGCAGGAAGTCAGAGGCAAGGGCTGTGGGGTGGGGGTGACAGCTGCATCCTGCGCTGGAGCCAGATCTGCCACAAGAAGCTCTGGGTCTGACATCTTCAGCTGGTTGTGAATTAGAGCATGAGGAGCATAAAGTCCACAGCTTTTCTGCTGAAATCCCTCTTGCGAACTTCTAGCCACTTGGGAGATGTAGGGAGGAATCCAGCCATCAGGACTACCCTCTCCCCACTAATGCCACCTTAGACTATTAGCTGAGGGTCGGGGCCCCATTAAAATGAGATGAGCACTCTCTCCATCCCAGATATCTTGGCACTAACCCCATAAGAGAACACCCCTGGCCCAAGGCATTGCTGCTTCCTCTCCAAATGAAAATCACAACCCGGGGTACTGACCCTTCCAAGCCCATAACTTCTTTGGGCAACTGCCCCTACCATGTAGCATCTGGTGCCACCTACACCCATCTACAGCAGGTTCACTGGCTGCCAGCCATGACACTCAATGTCAGCCATGACCCTCAATATCAGCCATGACTCCCATTTTTTAAAAAAATCAGGGTTTGTGCTGCTCTGCACTGTTGCTGAGAATTCCATAAATCCCATCAGTGGTCACTGAGGACAGAGTGGCTGTCTCCTCCCAAACTATCCATCCAGGTGCCATGCATCTTTGCTTATGGTCTCCCTGCTTCTTCTTCATATGGAATGCATGTGTATCTATGTCCTGCACCTGTAAACTGCATGGGAACCCACAGTCCTACCAGAGCCATCAACAAGCTTTCCATCAACCTTACTATAAGAACATAATCCTGCAGTTGGTTTATTTCTGATTTTAAATTTTCTTGTTATATTATCAAGATGCAAGGGACATTCCAACAAGTCACCAGATTCCAGGCCCAAAAGTGTCACTTTTTGCCCATCTTGTCTTTAATTCTGGAATGTGACTAGAACCTTGTGTTTTTCTTCTTCTCCTCCCAAGTGTCATTCCAATCCAGCTCTTCATCCACTTCAACAACTCAGGCACAGTGTTTCTGAGGGGCTCTTCCACAACCCCCCTCCATATTTTCCCCTCCATGGCTCTGAATGAAATTGGTGAGCAGCCATCTGCCAGGACAAGAACAAAAACCTCAGACATCAGCATTTACCTAAACTATTCCTGCCAGCCCTTCCTAGAGGCATCTTGGGTGCATGGATATTTGTCTTGATTATCCAAATCTTCCCTCCTCTTGTTCTTACTAAATGGGTATGTGCTGTGTCCCATTGTTTTCTGCTACACGATGCTGATTGCTGTAAGAGCCTTTTAATACGCATACCACGCTTACAACAAAGATGAATCCCTGCCTTCACCCTGGCACAACTGCACCATAAATTGCAGAGTTTATAGAAGACAGATTAAAGGCAGCGCCCACACAGCCTGTGTGCACAAGAGATAGCATTGGGAGAGGAGGAGGACAGTGCCCCATCCCCAACACCATCATCATGAGCCACGAGATGGCCCCAAACAGGGCCTTGGGGCAGAAATGGGATGAGTACAGTGCGTCCTGAAGCTGGAAGAGGTCCTCAGCTCAGGAGCTTCTAGACAGACTCACAGCCAAGCCATCTGGGGCCCTGAGACTCTCAACGTCTCACTATCACCAGAGCTTGACGTCTAAGGGCTTGTTTTTGTGAGTCACTTTTCTCCCCAGTAAAATCTATGTAATTCATTGTGTGAAGGGGAGATTAATATTATTTTTTGTGGGCAATAAGATAAAAACCCATAATAGCTCATGAACTATTGAGCCACTGAAATTATATGTGTATATTTCCTTTTTTCTCAGAAGATATGATTCTGCATTTAAATTCACAAAGAGTTCCACGACCTCCAAAAAGGAGGAAACACCAAACTGTGCATGTACTCTAATATTTAGTACACCTTGGTTTTGAACATGACCAAGGAAAGAGGAAAGGGGAGATGTCTTTGGATGCCTCCACTCTGTGAGGCACTTTATAAAAACTATCTCATTTCTTTCTTACCCTAACTCCATGAAGTAATTATTATCAGCAGCCCCATTTTTTCAGATAAAGAGACTGAGGACAGAGTACCAGTTACTTCTACATGCCATCCAGTTGATAAGAACCATGGTAAAAATATTAGCAAAGTAATAGTAGCTGATGTTTTTGAGAGCTTATTGTGTGCCAGGCACTGTTCTAAATACTACGTGTGTTTGTTAATTAAATCTTCACTATAACTCACTGAGGTGGATATTATTATTATTATCATTAATACCTCATTTTACAGATGAGGAAGCTGAAGCTCTGAAAAGTTAAACAACTGATCCAAGGTCACCCAACTAAATTGGGACTTGCAACTCAATTGTCTGCCTTGAGCCCAGACTCTTAACCCCTCAGTGACACCACCTCCCAGAATTTACGGCAATCACTATAATATCAGACTGACTTGACTGTTCAGGACCAGCATAGACCAGGATGTGCTCTGTAATAATCCCAGGGCTAACATTAGCAAGAGCCTCATCCTTAGTTCTCTGTTGCGTTCAAACACAACTCACCACCCAGGAGCCTCCATAGCCATACTAGTAACAAAACAAGATGTGAAGAAAGCTCACACAAGATCACAGTAAGTGATGAAAATCAGTATTAAACCCAGG